TGAATCTCAATGAATATCAATCCGACGCTGCCAATCCGACGCTAGCTTCACTTTGGTTACCAGTGGCGGATCCAGGATTTTTCAAAGGGGGGTTCCGTTTCTTAAACTGTGTATAATCCTCTTTTGTTTTGTCGATGTTTGACAAAAAAATTGGCTCTAATCACCTAATTTACTATCTAGTATATAATAACGCTATAATAACACGATCCAACGCAAAACTACTAATATTTTTTTATTAAAATTTATGTAAGACATATTTCTATTACCTAAAAGATCAAACCTTCAAGGGGGGTTCCGTGGACCCCTTCGACCCCCCCTGGATCCGCCACTGAGAACTGTTTTCCATTGTTCATTCTCCATTATAACAAAAAGATTCCACTAAAATAAAGCCCAGACTTTGCCTATTGGAGAAATGTACTTTCCATAGAGAAAGGTCAGAAAGTCACCCTTACAATGAGCAAAATAAGTGATAACCGATCAAAGCCGTCTCTCGCACCGAGTGAAGTCACTCCACCCTGAAACACCGATTTATCACAGGATTCGCTCCAAAACTCAATAAAATAACAAAGAACTAAACAAAGTACAGATTGGAAGCAAAATATAAGGTCGATTACCAATCTTACGAGTTAAATTGATCATTGAAATCGTGCACTGATTTTTGCATTGTCGGAATGCAGCGCTTACTTTGGATTGGCTCCAAAACTCAATAAAATAACAAAGAACTAAACAAAGTACAGATTAGAAGCAAAATACAAGATCGATTACCAATCTTACCAGTGAAATTGAGCATTGAAATCGTGCATTGATCTATGCATTATCGGAATGCAGCTTACTTTGGAATATATGATAAAATTGATGTGACCCACAATGCTTCGCGAATGAGTTCGAGCTAATTTTAAATCATTGCATTTATTTGCAGATGAAAAAGCACTCTGTCACAGAATACATTCGTTATTAATAATAATAATAATATTTATTATTATTAATCATTATTACCATCCATTACGAAATACACTTACTGGAGTTGTTTCTCGTGGCAGATGCATTCAAGGAAACTGTAGATGAACACGGCAGACTTGACATTGTGTGCAACAATGCGGGTATTGATGAGTCCAACTTGGAGAAATGCATTGCCGTCAATCTGGTAACGATAGTTTTTCGAATTCAAATTACAAAATTTCATAAAGATGAATTTGTCCAGTTAGGGTCTCGGGGTACATCACCAGGTCAGGTCAGGGGTGGCGCTTCTGAAAGCTTTAACCAAACACATAAAAATAAGACGAAACTTAAAAAAATTGTATCTCCTCTGTAATCTTCAAGTCCATGCCTCATGATCCTCGCACAGTATTCCAGTATTCATTATTCCATTTCTTTCCAGACGGCCACCATTCAAGGCACCTACTTAGCATTTGAATACATGAAATCCGGGGGTGTAGTAGTCAATACGGCTTCCATGTCAGGTATATCTATATATATGAAGAGTAATTTCAAATTTGAGGATACTTATAAAAACTCGAAGAACTTGATGTTTTTCGGAATAAGAAATAAGCATAGACAGATTGCAGCATCACGTTATGACAGCCATGACAGGAGGCAGGAACAATTGAATCTGGTTTAATACTTGGTGGGACTACTTGCAGTCTACGATTTCGAGTCTGAGCTCCTCTCAGATATTTGACAAGTTATATCAATGTGTCATCATACCACTCCACTTTAAGAACTAAGCTATGATGTTTGACCGCTTCGTTACAGCATTTGTACCGATGGGCTTGGCACCCGTGTATAGCACAACAAAGGCTGGTATTGTTATGTTTACAAGAAGCATCGCAAAGGTAAAATACCACGAAGGGGCAGTCGAGTATTCTTTTGTTTTTGAAGCAATACAAATGAGGCTAAGGGGTGACTCAAAACACCTTGAGATTTAAATAACATTGAAGCAGCCGCCATGTTGGTTGACGATAACAAAGCATTTCTCATTAGATTTTCTTGTTAGATAAAGTAGCATGGCGGCTGTTTCATTGTTATTTATAGCTAAGGGATTTTGAGTCACGTGGTTGTACTTTTCCCTGTTCCCTAAGAGGTTCGATATATCTACCGTATTGTGCTGTATTGTATATAGTCACCAGTTGACTACACAATACTTCTGTATTTAAGGTTTCCCTAGAGTCCAGAGGTGTCCGCGTATGCTGTATTTGTCCAGGAATAGTTGATACTCCCGTTGTGCCCAAATTTCTCAAAAAACGAGGATGTGTTCAGTAAGTACCAATAATACAAAATCGAAATTCCGGGAGTATGTTTTACAACAAAAAAAATTATATAAAAAAAGGTTAAATTATATTGATACCCTGAAAAGACTTTCATCAGGTTCCCTCCACACGCACCACCGCTGCTATTTACAACACACAACACTAAACTCACAAGTTGATTTGTTAGGAGGGAGGAAACTGGAGAACCCGGAGAAAACCCTCGTGGCAAGGGAGAGAACAACACATCAAACAAAATCAACTCGCATATCAAGTCTGAGCCGGGCCGGGTAATGGAGGCGAGAGCCAAACCACTGGGCCACCAATGCCACCCTCTGACGCTGCTTAAAAGCAGTGCACGGCTAGTTAACTCACAGATCGATTTGTAATTTAGCGTGTTAGGTTTTGTAGAGAACCCGAAGAAATACCTTTGAATCAAGGAAAAGACATTATAAACTCTACTGATATGTCAGTGGTGTCAGGATCGAACCCGAGATCCCAGAGATGAGAGGCGAATGCATTAACCTCTCATTCCTTCTTGTTTTATCTTTGTTTGTTTACAGACCAGAGTTCATTGCCAAGGGTCTTCTTCAGCTCATCAATGACGATTCCAAGAATGGAGCAATCATGAGAGCCAACGCTGCTAAAGGCATAGGATACATGCAGTTTGAAGAAATGGACATTTGATAGTAATCATGACATTGATCAATATCACAAGACAATACTTAGTCATGTAGGATGCATGTCTCCTATTTAAGCGCATTCTCATTCCCAAAGATCACACTCGAAAATATGTTAGAAGTGATATTGCAAGCCAAACTTCGGCCCCTTTTTCAATAGTATGAAAATAAGTTGAAAGTCACCACTTTCAACTATATTTCCATCACTTGGAGTGCGCACAATTTGTATAGGAAATCGCAAGATATCGAGTACAATGTACGAGAAGATCGTGCGATTTTCGTGTGTTTATGATACACAAAATTGATCCGAGGGAGCACATTAAAATTTTGTTTGTGTAAAGAAAGTTATTGCACTTGGCTGATCCATCATGTGACAGGCGTTCCTCGTAGTGTTTTGGTTTCGGCCGATCCGAATGGAGTAAATTCGCTAGCCCGACTAAAGCAAGGAACAACTGCCATAAAGTGTAGCGCGCGCACGTAAACAAGCACTACAAGGAACGCCTGTCATATCTTAGATTACGTGCGCTAAAATCGAAGATAAACCAACACAATCAAAATTTTAACGTGCTAAAAAATAAAAAAATAAAAATAAATAAAATTTTAACGTGCTCCCTTAATTGATCAACATAATTGGGACAATTTGGGATTTAACTGTAATTCTCTTGTCCAATGAGAATCGAGTTAATCAGTGATTCTATAATGACAATTGAGGTCCACTGATCCATACACACCGTCTTGCTAATTGTCTTCATTTATTATCTACATTGGTTTAATAGAAATGTAAAAAAATCAATTCCTTGAATCATCAGTTATTATTTATAAACTATCATGTTACCTATTCAAGCACTGCAGACAGTTATAGCTTCGGCTGGAAGTACTTTTTGTAGTCTATACCATTTTGTTTCGTGACGCGCATGACAGCAGCGTTCTTGGTGTCATCCTCGATGAGTTCTATTACACCAGAAGCAATCAACTCAGGCCTGAGATAAATGAAAAAAAAATCTCTAGACTTTTTGACTTCATGCACTCTATTAGCCAAGGGAAAAACTGGATCAAGTTGGCATTGTGTATTGTGGGACTGTCTTAGGGGACAAAATAGAAGCCATCCCTTCATTCAGTTCCCCTAAAACAGTACCACATTGCACTGCGATGCCAACTCGACCCAGTTTTCTCCTCAACCTCGGAATGGCTAATTACTTGAATACAAGTAAATAAAATACAATTCGTCCTCATTTCGCGAGGGTAACACCTTACAGCCAGATGTTAACAAACCGGTGGCCCTCCCTCCAGGGTGGAATTGTAATTATATGGAAGGGTTGGTATTTGCGAATGGAGGAAAGTCGTACAGGGTTCGTGCTGAGGTAACCACTTAAAATTTAAGGACTATTCAAGGAGTATACAAGGACCCAAAAATGAATTTTCAAGGAGCATGTTCAGCTAACTATGCCAAGGTTTTACACGGTGGTTGCACATGGCCGACTTTCAGATTTTTCAATCTTTCTGACTAGATCTATTTCAGAACTATGTAAGTAATGATCGAAGCAAAAATTCTAGGAGTTTTCAAGGAGTTTCGCTAAAATCGAAAATTCAAGAGTTTTTCAATTCCCCTTAAAAACGTGAATTAAATTCAAGGAGTTTTCAAGGAGTTTAAGGAGTAGCACGAACCCTGGTCGTTAGTAGTAAAGGAGCACCGCAACAAGCAGCAACATTACTGACATGGCAGGTCCAAGGATCGGTCATAGCAGTGAGAGGAGGCGCACTGGCAGCGACCACCACCTGTAATCAGATTACATCTTACATCTTACCTTCCGCTCTAAAGCAGTCGACTAAATAACACGCAAACGCGTAGAATTCACGCAAACCAATCGAGCTTTACTTGGTTTTCGAAACCAAACTTAAATGAGATTTTCGATAAAAGCTTCAATTACTTAACTACTAATTTTATCGATAGGGGTGCAAACCTAGTCTTCTCCGCAGCCGTCATTAGTCTAGATCCTCACGGACCCTGGGACCGAAAGTAATGGCATTTGCAGATCAGCCCAGAGGCTGTTTTCAGGTTTGATCTTGGTGTTAGCTTTGCCCTCGGGGTTATATCAGTCCAGAGGTTGTTTCAGGGTTTGATCTTTGTGTTATCCGTGCCCTGGTTTTTATCAACCCAGAGGTTGTTTCAAGGTTCGATAAAATGATGAAGAGAAACCATACCTTAATAAACCAAATTTCCGAATGTATTTGGCGGTAAGCCTGTCTTGAAATTGTGGATTGGTCAGTCCACCGTCTACCACCATCGGGGTGTCCGTGAACGAGGGACAAATACAATTGATTCGAACACCATCGCTATCTTTAAGGCCCTTGAAAAAGAAAATGGATAGTTCTAGTAAATAAATCAAGAAAAGAAGGAAGAAAGTAACAAAATAACAGGAGAAGCGAAAAAGGCTGACAGCTAGATAGTAAGGAACGAAGGAAGGAAAGAATGAATGGATGAATTGAACGAACTGAATGGAAGGAACAGAGGGACGGTCGGTAGGACGGAATGACGAAAGAAAGAACGAGCGAACAAACAAACGGACGGACGGACGGACGGACGAACGAACGAACGAAAGAACAAACGAACGAAGACTAGGAGCCGCACAATTTTTATAACTGTAGCCGATCTATTGCTAGCCATAATATACCTATTNGAACGAACGAACGAAAGAACGAATGAAAAAAGAAACAAACGATTGAAGTAAGAAGGGATGAGACAAGGTGGGAGTAAGAAAGAAATAGAATGAAGAATGAAAGAAAAAGACAACAAGGGAGTGGGAAAAGGAGAAAGGGAAGGGAAGAAGATAGGCTTGATGATAAGACAATTCACAGACAGACAACTACAATTTATTTTTATTAATAATGATTACGTTAGTCCTTCGTTGGAGTAAAAGATGGATTTGTTGAGATTCTCACCTCCAAACTTCTCGTTAATCCAACAACAGCATGCTTAGTTGCTGCATAAACGGGCATGTCAGTAGCTGGAATTAAACCTGTATAAAAGATACACGTAAAATAAGAGCTATAAAATAACCCATTGCAGCATGTAAGATGCCAACAAGTGGAGTGAACGTTTACGAATTAATAGTGAAGTATAAATGTTTACAGCTAAATATCCTTCGTTAATCAGTTTCACCAGTTGTTTCAAGATATCTAGAAAGGGATAGGAGGTACATTCTATTGCCTTCAAACAAGTCGAGGCATTTGGGTCAATACATTAATGTATAGAAACTGACCCAAACGAACAGTTTTTTAAAAGGAATAGCGTGCAACTCTAATTTCTGCTACTATATCAACCGAAATGGCAGCGATTTCTTTTGTTCTAGTTCGCGTGACGACATAGCCGTAATGTTGGATGATATAAACGAATGACTTGGTCTTGATCTTCTTTAATAACGTTCCTGTTCGGGAAATGCTAACCGAAAATAGTTGACCCATAATTCCTTTCGATGAACGCGGTCAACTCAACTAGTGATAATTCTCCGCTTTTCTTAATTTTGTGATGACACGTATAGCACGAATCTATTGGGTTCCCGTTGAATCCCCTTCTTGGCCAGAATTTTGTTAAAAATCAGTGAAAAAGCAACCACGATAATGTAAGATTGATTCCTGAAATGAACTCCCAACTGGAGGGTATATAATCTTGCGACCCCATAAAAAGAATTCAAAAAGGATTTCGGTAGCAGTTGTCTCAAGACCTTATAAGGGGAATGAAAATACCATAAGTCATCGCGCCCACAGGCAAGCTGCAAAAACTAATAATAAAGAAAGCTGTATAAACAAACAGAGAATTTAATTTTAGCGGAAAAACAGCAGCTGAGCTCACATTTCAAGTGCTGTCAAATCAATAAAAATGAAATGAAAAAATAATTCGAACTTCTTCATCAATCCCGGTTTATTTTTAGAAATCTTCTTTAACGATAAGATTTTTTAGTTATATATATTTTTTCACAATTGATATACAAATATGACATGTTTTATAATTGTATATTAATTGTAAAAAATAATAAATGAAAAAAGTGAAAACAAGAGAAAAAACGATATAATTTTTTTTGAAAGAACTGGATGAAAAAAGATAACCTATTTATTTGATTATTTTTAAGTGATCTTTTTAAAAAATTTTTGAATAAAAGTTCACCCTTTTATGATCTTATATTAGATATAGTTGAGTTTTTTGATAAAATGAGATGTCATTGGTAATGTATAGTTTTAAACCTACATGTGTATATAATAATTAATCTCGAGGGTTATGCTAAATGCACTCCGATTGGTTCCCGCTCAAGTGTTTCTTTTCGGTTCCAAAATTACCCGAAATTTTTCGGATACGATGACGTCATGATTGTCATGGGAACATGGCGGGAAGGCTAAAAATTCACCGCGGGTTGTGTAATCAAGCGTTTTTGCCGCCTCTGATCGGACTAGTGTGGACGCGAAACATTTTATCCGTTTTCATGTGTGGACGGAAAACTTTTTTTTTCGGTTTCGGTGTGAAAGTTGCGGATTCAAATTTATCCGGCATAGTGTGGACGGGGCCTAATACGGCTAGCCGGCGTTTTTAAATAATTGTTCCACTCTGGAGACCGTATTCAAAAAAATTCGTTTTCGGTGAAATTGAATTGAATTGTTCCGGATTCGCCCGGACTAGTGTGAACGGTAGGCCTAACCGAATAAATAAAAATTCGGATTCAAATTTATCCGGCATAGTGTGGACGAGGCCTAAGTATTTAATTTGAAATCCAGTGTCCACTGAGATATGGCGGCAATCTTGAATTATGGAATGCCGAGTTGGCAAACCTGAAATTATAAAGCAACGGGGTTACCCTTTCACTGAAATAATTTGAAGTCTTGGCGTTTCGCATATTGTTCTAACTACCAGTAAATTCAATTTATTTTTTTCCGGTCCGGTATCCTAAAAAATCATGCGTTCTGATTGGCTGTTTGAGCGGGCGCTATTTGTCAGTATCTGCCCGCGCTCGCGGTCCGGTATCCTTTGCCACTAAACAACAAAACAAAACGATTACAAAAACAAGTAAAAAAAATAAGGGAAAAAAATGAATAAGTTATTTACCGTCCTATAGTCGGTCCGGATAGGGCAAAAATGTGCCCGAGGTCTTGAAAACGGCCTCGGCCCGCATATTCAAGACCTCGGGCACAATTTTTCCCTATCCGAACCTCCTGGTCGGTAAATAACATATAGTTCTTTTACATGAGCTTCTAAAGTTATATAAAAAGGCACTCCGACAGCTGTGTAGAATATACACTTTCCAACATTTGCCCCACGGCATCCCATAATGTGTTGATTAAATCAATAAAATTCAAGATGGCCGCCGTATCTGTAAAAGGTCTATTTATCCTTAATGTTATAGATTTGAAAGGGGTAGTTTAACTATATATATACTTGTGACTGAAGGAGTTACTAAGCAACTCAGTCAGTCTCAGTGAATGTTATAGATTTGTAACTGACAGAGGTACACTGTTTCATAAGACTTGAGTAAGTTAAGAGAAAAGATAAAGAAAGAAAAGATTAGAATCGCAGAGCCCCATGAATAAAACTAAACTAGACTTTTGAAGTTTAAAGATTTCTAATTATAGATTTTTAAACTCCTTCGCCATAGGCGATGAATACACTAACGCCACTTTTTGTGCTTTGTTTCTTTTAATAAAAAAAATATAGTTCTAATTTATATATATCAAAGCCATCTTCACCATAGAAAAGGGGGAGCTTAATTACTTATTTGTTTAGTTGAAGCTTCGACTTCATTCAATTGTCAGTGCAACCACATTTCATCGTTTCGGCGATAATTACTTAAAAATGGAGCGGAGTGATTCTTAATTTCTTGCAGTAGAATAGAATAGAATAGAATACCTTTATTTAAACACGATAAAATTTAAAGCTAAAAGCTTGTGGGGTCGTGCATAAAATAAAT